ATAAACACGACAGCCAGCTGAACCATACAGAGCAGATACCCTCAAAGACACCAAGTAACTTGATCTTTCCCACAGAGGGACAGCAATCTATCAGTGGCAGAAATTTTTATCATTCTAAAATCCCTGCTCTAGGCTAGTTAGACTTCAGTCAGAGATTGATAAATATTAACACACAGTTTGATGTTCTGGTTTGGTCTTCTGTCTAGCCCCTCCATTATAGTTATTACAGGAAGCCTAGAAATTGAAGACTTTTTCCTCCTCTGTTAATGTTACTCCTCATTTCTAGGTTTGCTGAAGGAAGCAGTTTCACAATTATTGTAAGCCAGCTCTTCAAAGCTGCATCAGACTGATAATCTATGGCTGATACTTCAGTACTGTGCAGCAATATTTACCATATGGATATGGTTATAAGCATCTGTAAGCCCATCTTTTACTATCAGGTCTTCCAGCTTTACTCCTCCATAAGGTGTTGATCCTCTGCTCATTGTATAGGGAACATTAGACATGCTCTCCATTCCACCAGCAATCATTACATCCTGCTCAAAGGAAATAGGTTAAAATTATTAAAAATGCAGTGTGTTCTCTGTGATTTCTTGTAGGAACAAATATTAGCAAAAGCTTAAGCCTTTATATTATATATATTATTTATATTTCAGAGCAGTCTTAGAGAAAAAGAAAAAGAACACCTTTATGCACTTAAAAAGTAAAGAGCAGGAACAAGAGCTGAAGACAGTTAATCCATGCTGACAGAGTACCTGGACTTCTATCTTGTATGTAATTTTAGAAAGCTGCATGAGCCATGTCAGTCCCTTGTACTTTTACTTCCAAAGCTTCCAAGATAAAATTATAATTTTTACTTGAAACAGTTAATCTTTCTGTAAATTTCTCATTTTTAGTCTCCATTAGTATCTCCATATCCCTATGGAACAAGGAACAGTCAGAACCTAAGAGACCAATAAGGAGAGGCAGAGACATGCAACTACCTGCAGTTCTACATATTGTTTCATCTCACTATGTAAAGAGAGATGACTTACAATGCAGTTTTATCATGTGAAAAGCCAGAAAAAAAAAGGAGACATTAATAATTTATGATCACTGAACTTGAATTAAGCCAAATCATCCTGAGTATTTATATATGGGTACATGTTTCAAGCTGAGGAAAAAAAACAACCTAAAAAAACCTACAACAGCAAAGCTGTTCATCTGACTGTGAAGAACAGACATGGTTATATTTAACAGCATATTTGAAATATGGATAAATGCAAGAAAAATACAAACACAGCACTGTAAGTCTTTGAGAGTTCAGTAGTGCTGTTAATAAAAATATAGAAAGGTATTTTACATCAAAAAAGCAGTAAGAAAGAAAAAGACTGAAGCTTTTTGTTTATTTAAATTCAGACTCAGGGAAGCAATGGTTTGTTTCAGAATAGACTGTAAACTAGATCCAGAAACAGTGACATAAAGTAATAAAGAAAAGAAAGAAAGTAGGAGACAAACTGGAAAGGCAGATAAATCAGAAAAGCAGCTGACATATGGAAGCAGCAACAGATCAAAGGAACAAGAGTCCCTGGCATTTCAACTTAATAAAATGAAAGACCTGGAGACAGAGGCAATACAATTGTTTATATGATCATCTACAATGATTCAACCCACTGGGAACTATCATGACTTTCATACCACAGACACCTCACGGTCTGCAGCCAGGAAAACAAGCAAATACCAAAATCCGCCATAATTTATAGCTCTAAGATACTAATAACTGGATCATCTCTGCTTTTGCTGAGACTGGCAGCACAACACATATGATTAGCAACAACAGATTCTGCTTCTTCTAAAACAATATGAAAGCTTTTAATGTACTTGGAAACAGCCTTGCTTTCATATGCATATTTAAATAATTTAAGTGTTTAAAGTGTCTGAAAGTCAAGATTAAAAATGTTTCCTCAAAAGCTAAGTCTATAAAAATTACTTCAGTTTCTCAAAGTAGAGAGCTTGAAATTTCCCTTAAATTTTTTTGGGGGGGAGGGGTGACATGGGGCAGGGAGCAGTAGGGAGAGGATCTAAATAGCAAAGAAAAAAAAATCCACCTTATTTGTTCAGCTCTAAAAATGTATCTGGCAATTTCCTAACTATAATACTTATAATTTTGTTTCTGTTTTATTCAAAAAAACACACTTAAGTGTCTATAAAACTAAGTTTGCATAAGCAAAACAAAACCTTGCTCATTAGCTTTGTTATCCCACATCAAAACACAGCCGCAAATCAAAGAGCACAGTCATTAGGAGGACAGGATCTACAACATTAGCTTTTTCCACAAAACAGCACTAAAATTCACATACCTGACTACCACACATCAGGCTTTGTGCTGCCAGCATGATAGATTTCATTCCTGAAGCACAGACTTTATTGATAGTTGTACAAGGAGTGCCGATGGGTAGACCTGAGTCAAATAAGTTGTACAAACAATGTTCTCATTTGAAGGGTAGACTGACACTTGATTGGTGTTTCAGCTATATTTCAGATGGGATCAATTTTTACCTGAGCTCAGGGTGTTCAGCTTGCACTGTTTAGCCTGCCAGGGCAATTTATCTACCCTCACTCCTAATTACTATCCTTCTTGGAGACTCTTTGTTTTTTGCCCCTTTCCAACAACAGATTCAGGATAAGGGAACAAGCAAATGAAGAAACATAGAAGACCAGGGAAGCAACTCCAGAACTCTTCCTCCTCGTGACACCCCGATCCCTGCCTCTGAAAACATTCAAGACTGAAAAGGCATAAACAAGCTGTAGAATTTAGCAGCTGGCAATAAGACAGACATCAAAAGTATGGGGACTCTAAATGCAATACTGAACAAGACCAGGTGTTGGTGTCATTCACAGGCTTATTACTGAGTTATTATTCAGTGTTACAATAGCTTTGGGCTCTGCTGTCTGCAACCTGGCTCAAGATCATTGCACCACTGCCTCTGCCCTGGGCTTGCTCTCTAGTATGGTGGGTTTGCTACCAGCAAACCATCTGCATAGCAGCAGCGAGATGGGGAAACCAGCCAGCGGAAAGAAAAGAACCATATTCAGCCCTTCCTTCAGCAGTTCCCTCTCTTTCAAAAAAACACAGGGGCAGAGTCAAGAAAGTATCCAGCTCTTTCCTGACCTGCAGGCTTCCTAGAGTCACGCTAAGGCATGGAATTCCATCCTCGCAGAAAAAGGGAAAAAAAAAATAATTCCTGTGCCCCAATAACATACATGCTGCAGTTAACATTAGAGTGAATCCTCCCAGTGAGAGCCCCAGACTCCATTCAAAGATGAATGTACTGACATAAGTCTTATCTGCAGTTCAAGGAAATTCACTGGCCCAATAAGGCTTGAGTAATGATGCACAGAAGAAATAAAACTCTGTATCATTAAGAACTCGAAGAGCAGCATCCATTAACTCATTAGTGTAAAGTGCTGTGCAAGTAGCAGCCTGGTCTCCAATACTGTCTTCTCCAGGTTCTGCAAACACCACAGGCAGCAACATCCTATGTGCATATGAAAAGTGATTCCTAAAGATGCCAATTAGGCATGCTGTACTCATGTTACATACATACACCCTTCACCCACCACGGGGAAAAAAGCAAACAGTCTTGACAAAAGGCTGGGCACCACTCTGCTTCAACTCATAGCTTAGTAATCTACACTCTCTACATAAAGATAGAAAACCTCTAACCCCAGTATCAACAGAATAAATACCTGCACCCAAGACTGCCTGTCTTGTCGGAGCTTGTCCTTGTCCAGCCTGCAAGACATTGCCCATATATGCTTCTTTCACTTCTTCTGCAGGGATGCCTATAAAACAAAATTGTTTTGATTCAGGATGCTTTGCACAGAAGATGTAACTCCCTTTTACAAACCTTCCCATTTGGACCTTTCTATCAGAAACTGATGAAACATGTAATTTCCACCTGAAATGCACCCCTGTAGTGTACATCCAATATCCTTACCCTCATACTTATGAAACATGGTGCACTGGTGACACTCCCAGAAAAGAATTCCATTAATGCCCTGCAGAACAAGCTAACTAAAGCAAACATTTCCAAGTCTCATTAGTTACCCAAGAAGCTCACTTTCCATGGATGGTTAAATGCATAAGACTTTCTACCTGCCACAATTACATCTAAAGAAACCATTCTGTTGCTTTATTTAACATGGATGAGCCAAGGCCACAGAACCTGCTGTCACCCTACAAGAGGCCTCCTATTCCCGCTGCATCTCTAGCAACAGCCCAGTTGTCCAAGTTCCTGTAATATGCTGTTTCAAGAAGCTAAATTTGTAGAAATTAACCCTTCTCTCCCCCCAAACCAATTTTTGCCAATGCGAATCCATCAGTATGTCCTACAAGCAGATGTGCCCATATGACAAATAAGCAGGCAAAGGAAGTGCCACTGGTTTCAGCAAAGTAGCCTTTCCATCCACTTAGGTGTGTCAGAAACCCCCAGATCTGGATTAGCACAGACATGCCTAAGGAATGTTCTGCTCCTAGAAGCAGCACTTAATTCAGATTGAAACAAAGCCCAACAGTCAACTTTACTTTAATACTATTTGTAGATACAGACTTAATAGCGCCACAGGAGCAGAAAATCCTGTTCTGAACCAAAAAATAAATTACATATACCTGCTCTGTCAATTGCTCCCTTAATTGCAATGGAACCAAGTTTAGTAGCTGGCAGTGACGAAAGAGATCCTTGGAAAGATCCAATTGGTGTCCTTACAGCACTTGCTATCACCACTTCCTAAAAGAAGCACAAGTAAAAGTTATGGTCTGTCTCACATATCAACACATGTAATTTACTCTTTTTTATTTATCCACTTTACATTCTCTTTTGTCCTGCAAGTTTTTCAGAGCACTACAATAATCTTGATTAATGCATGCAGCATGGGCAATAAATATAAGATTGGTGTGCAGCTGCAGGACACTAGCTTGGGACCATGGAGCTGTGGTGAGATGATTCCCATGGTTGGAGTGCTGCCATACAGGGATAAGAGCTCTTTAGGAAGGACAGTCCAAGAATACAAAGGGGGGTGGGGCGGCGGGTGTATTTGCCCTTTATATGCCAGAACAGCTGGAGTGCGTTGAGGTCAGCCTTGGGATGGATGACACTTGCAAGAGTCTCAAAGGTCCTGAAGTGGGGGGTGTGAAGGGTCAAAGATACCTGGTTAATGTTCTAGGATTAACTTCTCCAAGCTCAAGAGCAGTAAATTCCAACAAGCAGTTAGTCAGGTAAAAATGCCAGGACTGCATGGATGACCACAACTCATACAAAAAAAGGAAGCATAGAGAAGGTAGAAACAGGAACAGGGAACCTGGCAGATGCTGTCTGAGCATGCAGGGACAAGGTTACAAAAGCCTTGCCCAATTGAAATTTAATTTGGCAAGGGTTGTCTAAGGCAACACAAAGGGCTTCCATAAGCACCCAGAAAGCAAAAAGAAGTCTTGTGAAAATGTGGGCCTGTTGCTGAATGTGACAGGGGGGACACAGGACATGAAAAAGTCTGAGGTACTGAATGCCTTCTTCACCTCAGTCTTCATTAGTCACGAGTAGTAACATCAGCCTTCAGCAATGCCAGGACACAAAGACCAGGAGGCTGGAGCAAGGAACATGTATCCCTGGTGAACAGGGATCAGGCGAGGGAATACTTAAGCAAACTGGATATACAGAAATCCATAGTCCCTGTTCAGATGCAACCATGAATGCTGAGGGAGCTGGCTGATGTCTTTGCAAGGTCACCCTCAATAATCTTGAAGTGGTCATTGCAGTTGTGAGGTGCCCAAAGACTGGAGAAAAGGAAACACCACTCTTATCTTCAAAAAGGGTGAGAAGGAGGACACAGGGAACTACAGTCTAACCAGCCTCAATTTGATCCCTGGAAAAGTGATTAAACAACTAGCTCTAGAAGCCATTTCCAGGAATATGAACAAGAAAATAATAAAGCATCATCAGCAAAGATTGACCAAGGGAAAGTCATGCTTGACCAACCTGATAACCTTCAAAGATTAAATTACTGTCAAAGATGAGGGGAGAGCAGTGGACATTGTCTACACTGAAGTAAGGCTTTCAGCACTGTCTCCTGTATAATCCTGACACAGAAGCTAAAGAAGTATGGGCTAGATAAGCAGACAGTGAGGAGGACTGAAAATTGGCTGATTGGCTGTGGTGATCCATGGCACGAAGTTACTGGTTGGAGGACAGTAACTATCAGTGTTCCCCTAGGGTTAATACTGGGTCCAGTCCTGTTTAAGACCTTAATTAATGATCTGTATAATGGGGCAAGAACATACCTTCTGAAGGTTTGCTGGTGACACCAAACTGGGAAGACTGACTGATACGCAAGGCGGCAATGCTGCCATCCAGGGGGACCTCAACTAGAGGATACAGAATTGGGCTGACAGAAACATTGTGAAGTTCATCACAGAGCAGCACGAAGTCCTGCACCTGGGGAGGAACAACCCCAGGCACCAGTGTACACAGGTGGCCACCCAGCTGGAAAACAGACTGGAAGAAAAGGTGCTGGGGATCCTGGTGGACATCAGGTCAAAAACAAGCCAGCGATGGGCCCTTGCAGCAAAGAAAGCTGATGGTATCCTGGGGTGCATCAGGCAAACTACTGCCAGCTGGCCAATGGAGGGGATCCTTCCCCTCTACTCAGCCCTGGTGAGAACACACCCAAAGTCCTGTGTCCATTTCTGGGCTACTCAGTAAAAGAGAGACATGAACATCCTGGAGAGAGTCCAACAGACAGCCACAAAAACAATCCAGGGACTGGAGCATCTTTGCTATAAGGAAAGGCAGAGAGAACTGAGACTGTTCAGCCTGGAAAAGAGAAGGCTGAGACACCCTACCCACCTACCTGAAAATCTGAAAGGAGGGTGCAGAGAGGATAGAGCCAGGCTCTTTTCAGTGATGCTCAGGCACAGGACTAGAGGCAGTGAGTACAAACTGACATGTAAGAGGTTCCCTCAGAACATCAGGAAACACCATTTCTCTGTGAGTGTGACTAAACACTGAAACAAGTTGCCCAGAGGGGTTGTGGAATCTCCATCCTTGGAGATATTGAAAAGCCCAGGTCCCAGCATAATGCATAAGCAGTAGTTTAAGACATGGCATGACATTCAGCTCTACACCTCAGCCCTTCAAAACAGATGTATTCTTCCTCTTATCTTCAGTGCTACATCAACATGTCTACCTGCTAACCCTCTGAGAGCAGCATGAGAACGTGACACCAAAAAGATGCATGTTTCAGCCCTCTGGCTGCCCTGAACAGCTATTGAGAACATCCAAGGAACCAACTGTGCTGGCTTCAGAAGTCAGACAAACAGCTGCACAAGGTCTCACCATGAATTCTTTATTTAGAGAGACAAGCAACAAAAGAAAGAACTAGAAAAAAATTCAACAAAGACAAATTATACTTATTTAAAACAAAGGTCTGTCCCTGTAACCCCTTCTTCAATACGATTGACTCCAGTGACAGTAACATACTTGTCCTCATCTTTTATGTTTTAACAGCAAGTTGCAGGATAACATATAAAAGGAATCATAGAATGGTTTGGGTTGGAAGGGACCTTAAAGATCACCTAGTTCCAACCTCCCTGCACAGACAGGGACACCTCCCACTAGATCAGGGATAGATTAGAAATAGATCACTAGATCAGAAATAACCTCAAAGGGATTAGTTGGCATCAGCTGTACCTTCTAGTAACAGGTAGACAGTTGCATTTAGCTTAAGTTAGCTGACACAATTCTAACCAATTTTGTTCCACACGACCTAACAATTAGCAAACCAAAATAATAATAATAAAAAAACCACAAACAACAGAATCCAATTTTTATTCCAGATTTTACATTGAAGTCTGGCTTGGGTACAAGTCACATTGTCTTCAGCAAATTTTTTGTGGTAACTTTTTTTAAAATTTCAGTGACAAATTCAAAGCTGTGATTTATTGCAGTCAGGTGATGCTCTGTACTTACATTCAAAGTCCGCTGGGATGCATAACCACGGCTTGTGTTCTTCAAAGCCTAAAAATAAGAAAGTCCTCAGAATTTCATATGAAGAAAACCAATGCCATGACATTGCAATAATATATCATTTTCATAGAAGTCATTATATTAAAAAATAACATCTAAGCAGCACTAGAAAAATAGTTAATTAAAAAGCATAACAAGCTTTTAAAAAAAGAAGAATGTAGTGTAGTCTCACAGTCCCACCATAACATCTGTGACAAAATATTTTCTGAAAAATAAACTGATACTCCTTTAAAAACAAAAAATTAATTTTTGTCAATTCTGTTATGTACACATATAACATGTGTCTAAACCAGGGAGTCATGCTATCTTGAAAAAGTTGACTAGTCCCTCTGTCTGCTTCTCTGGACTTCGGTTAATTCATTCCTAACATTAACTTCACTGCTTTTTAAGCAGTGGCAGTTTACATCTACAGCTTAATTTCATTGGCATCTCATGAACAAAATTAAGGATAATGAATGCAGAATGCTGCAACAAAAGATGATATTAAAACAAAAAAAAAAAAGAAAAAGCTACTGCCTGAGCAGACTAATCCACCAGCTACTATACTTGTCTAATTAAACACTGTAAAGATACAAAAATGCTTCTGCAGGTATTGTTTCATATACTAACACAGAGAACTTTCAGTTAGTGGTTTAAGCCACTCTCTTAGCCATTTCCTTAGACAACATTTCAGCACACTGGTAACTTCTGGTCATTGCTGATTTACAGCTCAATAGACACTCATGATAAATAACTACTTACGAACACCACAAAAACACCTTCAATTTTATAAATCAAAGAATACCTTCTGTTATTGTGCCCACAATATGAACATTTGTTTCTCTTTTCATTTTACAACCTTCAGCTAACAAAAGACAGGGGCTTTTTCTTACTGTTTTTCAATGTTTAATTTGTTTTTCCAAGCTCAGGTTGCAACAGGCAGCAAAAAGTTTGAAATGAAACTTCTCCCTGAAAATTAATTATGCCCCTGAAGGGCTTTAGTAACAGGGGGTTCAAAGGTGACAAAAAAAACCCCAAACCCAGGAACAGCAACACACCCTTGATGGTCGACACCTGAACCTGACCTTTGTAGTAAGGCAAAGCAGACAGTAAGTGCAACTGGCACCTGCTGTTTGTGCTCACGTTCTGTGCCAATTACAGGCCTTTTAAAATCACAGCACGCGATGTGGGCGCAGCCCAGCGCACGCCGATGCCTGACCCCAGGGCAGCTCTCGGTGGCAGGGACAGGATCCCCGGCACCCGCAGCGCCTCAGCAAGCGCGCACAGCAGTGCCCGGGCACTGGCTCCGCTCCCCACCTCCCGCTGTCCTTCCGGCGGGCCCGCCTCCGGCAGGTGAGACGCTGCCCGCCCGGCTCCCCTC